TGCCTTCCTCCATTTGAGGAAGAGAAGTGAAAAGTGAAGTGAATTCATCAACAGGAATTTAAAAATACATTTAAAAGGAATACACAATTCTCTACCTTAATAGTGTATAACAAGATTCTATTTAAATGAAACTACATTTCATTTAAATAAGAATGAAACAATAAACCTTTTTATTTTCTCTTTCAGCTTCTCTTGATCACATTATTGATCACACATTAAATACTTTTACAATCTCAGTATTTGTTTCCAATAAGGTACTCCTTAGCACCTAATAGAAAACACACAGGAATATTCATCAAGCCCAAAAGAGATCCCAAGAAGCAGTTTATTTTCTGGGAACTCAGTGGTTCCCATCCTTGCATCCCCATATGTTCTTAGACTACAGCTCCCAGATATGCTGGCCAGCACATCTACTGGTGAAGGCTTCTGGGAGATTTAGTCCAAGAACATCTGGGGACACACTATGTTAAGATGCCGGCCACAAAGATTGGTGAAATGTTAGGAAGAAAAACACTCAGAACACAGCCAAACAGCCTGAAAAACTTACAACAACCAACACTATGTTAACTGCATTCCACTGGAAATTGTTAGAAAGTCCCTCAATTTCAAGAGCTCTTTAAAGGATATGGGAGTCTGCAGTGGAGAAATCTGTGGGATTCGCATTCCTCTCATGAGTCTTAGAACAAAGTCATTGTTGCAAATAGTATTTCTTTTTTCCAGAAATACATTTCATTGTTTTCTCTTCAAAATTAATTAGTTCCACAATTCTGACTACCAAAAAAGTAAATTATGGTTTAGATGGGATATCAGTGGCTGTCTAGATTTTGCTATGGCTGTCTAGATTTTGCTGTGGATGCCCATTGTGGTATAATGGATAAACTGATGGACCAGAACTTAGAGGAGACCTGGGGAGGTACAACCACTCCTTCACTTTTAATGCTTATTGCAAACTTAAATGGAAAACCCTTTATTAGAGTAACTATAAGTTGGTTCCAACTTGACAGCACATAGCTAGAGATGGGCACGAACCTCAGTTCAGAGGTTCATGCCAGTTCATACACATAGCACCACAGATGCTACTTGTTCTCTTCTCCCGCCTCCCCAGCTAATGACCCACTCTTCCTCTTCGGTTGTTCAACCAATCCCTAGCAGGAACACATGTCTGCCTGTCCTGCTTCCTTGTCTGAGTGGGTGATCAGCCAAGGACGTGGGGCAAAAAAGCCAGTGCTCCTGCCGAAGACTGGTCAAACAGCCAAAGAGGAGGAAAGGAGAGCACACTGGCTGCTGAGTGGGAGATCCAGCTGAGGAGGCAAGGTTTGTGCCCATCTCTACACATAACCTATAACAGCTTTTACTGCATGCATACTTGCATTAATCTCTGTCATTGTCAATGGTCGAGAAAAATTCAATCTGTCATTCAGCAATATCTGCTGGACCATCATAGAGAAGCCTGTCTATACTGTACCAAATTTATACATGGAAACAAAAGAAACAGTGAAGCAATATGCAATGATCTTGGGTACCAGTTAGGGGTTATGAAGAGGTCTTGTCCAAGAGGCAAGACAGTAACAGGCTTCTCTTATTTTAAATATTGCTCCTACATTTCTTGTTCTTGTTAGCACCCAATTTTTGGTTTCAATTCTCCGGCAGGGAATAACAGATAAAGACAGTGCATCAATTCAGTCTATATGTAAGCCAATTTTATTCAAACACATATAACTGGGCCTCGTTCCTAAAAAGGCGGACCGGGAGCCCCATCATACATTTGGTAAAGCATTTTATAAGTTTCTTACACAAAGTACAATAAGCACAGCGTCCCCTTATTGGTCCCTTGAACCCTAATCTTAAAGCTCATTGGTTAATAAGTACCCGTGTTGGGTCATTCCACTAGATGTAAGAAAATATCTAAATTATATCTCTAAGATCTCCCTTTGGACCTGTGAGTTAGAGGAGTTAATAAATTGTGTATTAGTGTGACCCATTTGTGTATTTGGAAACATCTGCTTATCTTTTAATGATGGATTATGGGCTATCTGAGTTAGGGTAGTTAGTCTTTGTTGCCTGCCTGAAGGCGCTGTTAATTAAATACATTGTTATTCAAGCTTGGCCTTGAATAGAAAATTCACACAAAGCTTACAAAGCAGGCTGTGTCAGAGTTCTCCAAGCGGGAGGGGTAGGGGTTAGGACTACCAATTCAGCTTCACTGGCATAAAGCATAATCATTTTATAATCGTTTTACATTCGAGCAATGGTAAGGCATAATTATTTTATAATCATTTTACATTTAAGCTATGGTATTTCATACCATGGGACGTGGTGGCGTTGCGGGCTTAACCGCAGAAGCCTGTGCTGCAAGGTCAGAAGACCAAGCAGTCGTAAGATCGAATCCACGCGACGGACTGAGCGCCCGTCGCTTGTCCCAACTCCCGCCAACCTAGCGGTTCGAAAGCATGTAAATGCAAGTAGATAGAGACCACCTCGGTGGGAAGGTAACAGCGTTCCGTGTCTAAGTCGCACTGGCCATGTGACCACGGAAGATTGTCTTTGGACAAAACGCTGGCTCTATGGCTTGGAAACGGGGATGAGCACCGCCCCCTAGAGTCGAACACGACTGGACAGAAATTGTCAAGGGGAACTTTTACCTTTACCTATTTTATAATCATTGTACATTCAAACAAAGTTAAAACTTAGTTTCATTGCGCCTTGGTAACAAGAACTTGGAAAGTTGGTGTGTTTGATAACTGAAGAAGTAAAAGTAATAATAAAATGCTGTTTAACATCTACATGAAACCGCTGGGAGAGGTCATCAGGAGGTTTGGGCTGAGGAGTTAGCAATATGCTGACGACACTCAGCTCTACCTCTCGTTTTCCACCAATCCAGGTGAGGCGGTTTCTGAGCTGAACTCATGTCTGGACCTGATAATGGACTGGATGAGGGTTAATAAATTGAAACTCAATCCAGACAAGACGAAAGTGCTGTTAGTGGGTGCTTCGCCGGACAGGTTGGAGGGCCATTTCCCTGCCCTGAATGGGGTTACACTCCCCCTAAGGGACAGGGTCCGCAGCCTGGGGGTGCTCCTGGATCCCAGTCTAACTTTGGAAGCCCAGGTGGACTCGGTGGCCAGAGGCGCCTTCCTTCAGCTGCGGAAATTATACCAGCTACGGCCCTACCTGGACAAGCGGAGTCTCATGACAGTTACACACGCACTGGTAACATCCCGTATAGATTATTGCAATGTGCTCTACGTGGGGCTGCCTTTGAAGATGGTCCAGTGACTGCAACTGGTCCAAAATCGAGTGGCGCGGCTGGTGAGTAGTGTGGCCGCCAGGGAACATATCAAGCCGATTCTGTATAAGTTACATTGGCTACCAGTTGCTGCCCGGGCCCAATTCAAACTGCCTGTTTTGACATATAAAGCCCTAAATGGCTTGGGCCTTGGATACCTGAAGGACCGCCTCCTTCCATATGAGCCTACCCGGCAGTTAAGATCTAGCCAGGAAGCCCTTTTGAAAGAGCTGTCCCTTAAGGAGGTAAGAGGGACAGCTTGTAGGCAAAGGGCCTTTTCAGTACCTGCCCCCAGACTATGGAATGCTCTCCCGACTGAGATTCATCTGGCGCCGATGCTGATGACATTTCAGTGCCAGGTCAAAACCTTCCTGTTCAAGAAGGCTTTTAATTGAAATAACATCAACTTTGGGTCCTGATGGCAATTTTTAGATTGTATTTTAATTAAATAAATAAATAAATAAATAAATAAATAAAAAATAAGAATTAAATAAACAGTTTGAATGTTGTAATACTGTGATTAAAGTGAATCCTACATAAGTAAGCATATCTGAAATCCAAAGCACGTTTAATGAATAAATACAGTGGTGCCCCGCATAGCAACGTTAATCCGTTCCAGGAAAAACGTCGCTATCCGGAATCATCACTATACGGAAATAAAAACCCCATAGGAATGCATTAAACTCCGTTTAATGCGTTCCTATGGGGGATAAACTCACCGCTAAGCGGAAATCCTCCATATGGCCGCCATTTTCGCCGCCTCGGTAAGCGAGGAAACCGCGCAAAAACGCTGTGGGCGGCCATTTTGTTTACCCAGCGGCCATTTTGGAACCGCCGATCAGCTGTTTTAGAACATCGCAATGCGAAAATCGGTAAGCGAAACGCTTACCGATCATTGCAATGCAATGTTTTCCCTATTTAAACATCGCAATGCGATCACAAAATCCGCATCGCTATGCGGATTCGTCGTTAAACGGGGCACTCGTTATGCGAGGCACCACTGTACTACAAGAACATCCATGATTTTCCTTATATGTTTCACCTTCAAATCCTTAAATAAATATTGTTATATTTGACAGCATTGATTCAGTATTCATATTTGGTACAGCAAGGAGAATATCCTCTGGTGGCAGCGTAAAAAGAAAGAAAAGAAAAAGTCGTGCCCAAAGGCGAACCTGGGTGTTAGGGAAAACAAACAGGGGAGCTGGGGGTGTGCAACAACATCTAATGGGTATTTCCTTTCTGTTTTTAGTCTGACTTGTTTGAATCATTGTGAGTCACCACTGCTCCCCTCACTGGGAGAAAGCAGAATAAACAAACAAACAACATTCACATATCTGCTATTGAATTTGACTTTTCCTGTTTATGTATTCAAGATCTGAAGGAGATTTCACACATACCAGGTTTCTGGAGTTTTCCCCACCACCCCCTGCAACCAAATTGTAAAAATAGACCTTTCTTTCAAGCTGGTCCCCGACCTCTGGTTATCATGCAAGGAATTACAATGAAAGGGCAACAACAAACAAGACAAACAAAGAACAAGACAGCTCAATGTACTAATACTAATATAACCTTAATAATATTTTGATCTAATGCATACCTAAGGATTGGATAAAATGAATAAAATAAAGACATTCAAACTGTATATTAAAACTCTTAAAACTCACATATATAAAGACAAAAGATATCAACAAAAACTAAAAAAAACACTTACATGTACACCATGTTTGTGTCTAAGTCAATACAAACAACATCCTGTGGTGGGTCATACAGATCAAAGTACCGTGAATCAACTCCAACTATAAATGGGAGAGGAGCACTGAGCACCGTTGCCAGAGACAAAGGACAGAGGGGGATGTAGGGACACTGCCACTGAAATGGAAATATCATCTGAAGGAAAAATGAAATGAAACCCATGTATTAAAATGTTGATGGATACTACATAATATCAAGCAACATGAGTGATTGTGAAACATCAAAGCAGGAACAGAATTGCCTGCCACCACCATACAATAACTAATTCATTATTGCATTCAAATGATCCACAGCTGTGGTTTAATAATTGCTGTTGTGCAATTATTACACATCCACTGTTTGAAAACACTGAATAGCTTAGACAAGTGGGTTGCAGAAGCGCAGCACAGTTAAATATCAAATATAAGAAATGTGGCATTTTAGAATCAAGTAATGAATTGTAGTTTGCCATGTAAGCAACATGTTTTTGCTGTGAATTAACTGGAATACTATTTTGTAAATCTTTTAGTCTACCTTTCACTTTGGTGCAAAACAAATGTACAGTAGGACCCCTGTATCCACAAGATCAGTATCCTCAGTTTTACTTATCCACAGTTTGGAAATATTAAAAATATTAAAAGAAAAAAAAACCAGAAAAACTATTTTCACATCTATTACCAGAAACTAGCTGCCAAAGGGAGCCAGAAAACATGATATGAATACAGTGGACCCTCGACTTACAGACGGCTCGACTTACAGACTTTTCGAGTTACAGACTTCTCTGGCTGCAAAATTTAGATTCGACTTGCAGCCAGAGAATCGACTTACAGACCAGAAAAAACCCAAAATGGAATAAAAATAGAATAAAACCCACTGGTTATGGGATTAATCGGTTTTCAGTGCATTGTAGGTCAATGGAGATTCGACTTACAGACTTTTCGACTTGCAGCCACCATTCCAATACGGATTAATTCCTTAAGTAGAGGGTCCACTGTACTTGTTAGTGAAGAATACCTAGCATGGTCTCTGGCACTCTCTGGTAGCCAGTTCTGGTAACACATGTGAAAATAATAGTGTCTCCTATTATCAGCGGTTTTCAGTATCCACAGGGGCTTAATCCAGAGCAGATATAGAGGTCCTACTGTAATTATAATGTGAAATAAATATAAGATGGTGCAGCTAAGATAAGAAAATTTATAAGACAAATGGAGGAATTTATGTGGGCTGCAAAGAGTAGTATTAGAAATCATAAAGAAAAAGAAGTTACTTACTTGTAACTCTGGTTCTTCCAGTGGTCATCTGTGAATTCACAGTACTGGGTTAATCTGCGCCTGAGCAGAGCAGCCTTGGAACATTCCAGAGCTCAAGCACATGGTGCCGGGACATCCCACACACTACCCTTTTGGGTTTTTTAATAGTGTTTTTATTTGATACATACATACATACAGAACCAAAAACTAAAACCAAACAGAAATAACACTAAATAATAACAAAACATCAGAACTAAATATCCATACTACACATATAGATCAGAAATTTTGCCATCGTCTAGACATCTAAATATCATCAAAAGATTCTAGTGCACACTGATTCTCCATAAACTATTTCTTCCCCTTAGTTCCTGTATTTTCCTGGGCCCAATTATATATTTGATCCCATAGTGCCTCTGAAAGCATGTCTAATTCTGCAACATCCAGTAGCTTCTTTAATAGCTCATTCATTGCTGGTGTTTCTCCACTCTTCCATTTTTGGGCCCAGAGTAACCTAGCTGCACTAAATACACAAAGTAGATGATATTTTATTTTCTTAGCAATTTCTGGCATTATGTTCAGTAGTATTATTTCCGGTTCAAAACTTAGTTTTTGCTGAATGATTTCTTGTGACATTTCCCAAACCTGTAACCATTTTTTTTTATTTTTATTTTTTGCTTTTTCACATGCCCACCATACATGATAATTAAGTCCCTGGATTTTTTTACATAAAAAATAATACAAATCCACACGCTGCCCTTAACCCTGCCCCCAGCACCAAGTGCCTCAGTTCCGTAGAACCGTCTGCCGCTGCACAACATGGAAATGCGACGGACAGCGGGGAGGAAGGGCAGAGAGGGTGAATTCACAGATGACCACTCAAAGAACCAGAGTTACAGGTAAGTAACCTCTTTTTCTTCTTCGTGGTCTCTGTGAATGCACACTAATGGGTGACTAGCAAGCTGACTTACCCAGAGGAGGGATGTTACGAGAGCACAGAAGCCAGGACAGCACAACCCATCACAGCTTCAGCCTTGGCTCAGACATCAAGACGGTAGTGGGATGCGAAGGTTGACAGTGTAGCCCAGGTGATGGCTCTACAGATGTCAGTGAGGTCCACCCCTCTGAGGAATGCCGTCAAAGAAGCAATGGCTCTTATCGAGTGGGCTTTAACCATGTCTGGTAATGGTACCCGAGACAGCTTGTACACCAGTCGGATGGCAGAAACGACCCATCTGGAGATGGTCTGGCAGGTGACTGGTGCTCCCTTCGAAGTGCCTTGGAAGGCTACAAAGAGTCTCTTTGAAGTGCGAAAAGAAGAAGTGCAAGCCACATAATAGGAGAGAGCTCACTTGATGTCCATGGAGTGTAATGCCCATTCCGAAGGTGAGGTAGGTGCTGGAAAAGAGTGGGAAGCACGATGGGCTGGTTTAAATGAAAATAAAACATTGCCTTGGGAAGAAAGGAGAGATCCGGGGAAAGAGTCACCTTGTCCAGGTGGAATTGGAGGAAAGGCGGGCCCACCCTTAGGGCCGCCAACTCCCCTGCCCAATGTGCCAAAGTGATGGCAAGGAGAAAGGCGGTCTTTAGGATCAGGAGTTGCTCTGATGCCAAAGCTAAAGGCTGAAATGGAGGCTTCATAAGGTGACTCAGGACAAGTTTAAGGGACCATTGCAGAGTAAGAGGTCTCTATGCTGGGCGCAAATACTTCAGCCCCCGCAAAAACTGTTTCAGAGTAGAGTGGCGAAAAAGAGATACTGCGTCAGAAGAGCGTGGCTGGTGGGACACTATGGCAGCCATATACACCTTTAGGGTGGAGTGGGAGAGGCCACGCCAAAACAGGGAAAGCATGAACGGGAGAACTGTGTTTTCTGTGTTTATAGGTAAGCGAGGGAAGACGCAAACTTGCAGAAAGCATTCCATTTGTAGGAATATGTCAAAGTAGTAGAGCGCTTACACGCATGGCTGAGAACCTCAGCTATAGAGGGGGAAGCCTCCACACTCTCAGTTGGAGAGAGTCCAAGTCTGGATGAAAGATTTTGCCGTGATACTGGGTCCACAGGTGGGGAATTGATGGTAGATGGATGTACTCTGTTGCTCTCTCGTGAAGCACAGAGAACCACAGCTGGTGAGGCTACCAAGGGGCGATGAGGATGACATTTGTGTTGTCTTGACAGATTTTGATTGCCATCTTCTGCATCAACAGAATTGGTGGGAACATGTAGCGGAGACCCATCAACCAGCTGGTCATGAAGGTGTCCCCGGGAGCGATGACCTACTCTTGCCCGGGATCAGTAGCGGCTGTATTTCCTATGATGCAAAGATGTTTACCTGCGGAGTGCCCCAACAATGACATAGGTGATAGAAGATGGTGTTGTGGAGTGCCCACTTATGGGAAAAGCCTAAAGCCTGCTCAGGTAGTCTGCTAGGACATTCCCCTAGGCAGCAACATGGACCACCACCGGTAAATGTGCCAAATATAGCACCATTCTCAAAGATCAATGGCTAGGTAAAGCAGGGGGAGCGAGTGGGTACCGCTTGCTTGTTGACATAGAAAACAGCCATCGTATTGTCTGCTGCGATCTGAACTACCCACCCAACCAGAAGTTGTTTGAATGCCCAAAGGGCCTTGATTATTGCCAGGAGCTTGAGGTGACTGATGTGTAGACTTGCTTCAGACAGAGACCAGAGACCATGGATTGTCAGAGAGCCTAGGTGTGAGCCTCAACCAGTTGGACTGGCATCCGTGGTCAGCTGGACAGATGGAGACAGTGAGCCAAAGGATCTTTCCACCATGAGGTTGAACGGACAACTCCATCAGGACAACTGGGAGGCCAGTTTTGCCATAACCTCCAGGAGTTTGGTCGGAGGATTGAGCTCCACATCAAACAGGGAGAGGTACCAGGCCTGAAGCTACCTCATTTTCAAACGGGCGTGCTGAACAATGGCCATCATTGATGCCAAGAGACCCAACAGGCATTGAGCTTGAAGGGCTGATACCAAGGCGCCCCAGATAAATGAGGCCAGGGAAAAACGTGACCCCCTGGAGACAAAGATATGCTGACACCAGGGCTAAACACTTTGTGAACACCCATGGGGCAGTGCACAACCTGAAGGGGAGGGCTCTGAATTCATATGTCACTCCACTGAGCAAGAATCTGAGGAACCAGTGGTGATCGGCATGGATGCTGATATGAAAATAGGCGTCCTTGAGATCTATGACTGTAAATCAGATGCCCTGCCAAAGCACCTGGATGGTGGCACCTAGAGAGACCATACAGAACCGCTGAGGAGTGATATACGAGTTCAAATGGCAGAGAATGAGGATGGGACGCAGTCCCCCGTCCTTCTTAGGAATGGTGAAGTAACAGGAATAAAATCCCTGTACCATGTCTGGATGGGTTAGATGTACAATGGTGTCCTTCTGGAGCAAAGAACGTATTTCATCTTCCAAAGGAGGAGAGGGGGCCGTAGTTTTGAGGAAGTCCGCGATAGGGAGTGTCCAATTCAATTGCATAGCCTGTGGCTATGATAGAAAGGACCCAAGAATCCGAAGTGATGGTATGCCAGGATTGCAGGAATGGTGAGAGGCAAATGGAGGAGTCTGTGGCTGCTGGTGTGAGAGAAATGTCAAAGGTTCTGCCTGGCTTTTCAGTCTAGGTGGCGCGCCTGTTGGCCTGGGTGCTTCTTGCTAGCCTGCTGGAAGGATGTAGATGCCAAAGCTGAACTCTGAGGCCTCGATGGTCTTGAAAGGTCCTTGACAGAAATGGATGACGCCAGATATTCCTAGGATACTGTTGAGAAAAATAGGATCTAGCTGTCTTTCTCAGTTTCAGGAGATTGTCAAGGATTTTGTCATTTTATCGTTGAATAGACCCACCTCAATGAAGGGCAGGTCCTCAGTGC